GAAAATACAGGGGTTTTCCCACCTTCCTACCTTTGGGCCTTACCTCTTGTGGATGGTCCTGCTTGTACCTTTGCATCTGCCATTCTAAAGTGCCTGTGGATACCTGAGCAGCCCGGATGGGTCCCTGCCCTCTTACCATGCTGCTTTCTAGGCCTAGAACTTCTCCATCCTCCCAAGTCTTAATTTGTTTGATCAAAATCTTTCTTTCAATATTCATTTACTCCTTAATCTCCACTGCACCCACTCACGTTCTGTACGGAGCTCCACCACAGCATGTGAGACACAAGTATGTTTACTCTTCTCTGTCCATATTCCGATGCTAGAATGTGATTTCCTTAAGGGTAGAGACCATATCCTTTTATCTATGCATATCTAGTGCCAAGTATATTACCCATAAAGTAGGGGACATTGAATAAAACTCTACTGAGTAACTGAATGTATGGATGCATGCATGAATGAATGAATGATGATTATGCTTAGGAATCATACTTTTATGAACTGTGAAAAAGTTATTAGCAGAGTGTGTTAGAAGAGTGAGCAAAAAAAAAAAAAAAAAAAAAAAAAAAAAAAGTGGTGAAACAAGATAGAAAGCCATCAGTGTAATCTGGATCTTGGTTCTTGCTTTTTTCTTCTACTGCAGCAGAACTGATGCTCACCAGCCTGCCAGAAAGACACTCACAGGAAGCTGCTCTGGCTTACTCTATTAAGGGTTGGTGTAGTCGATGACCCATGGTTCACAGCTCCGCTTTGTCCTCTTGCCTGAAAAGTCATAACTCATCCACTTTCTGGAAAACTCACACTTATACAATTAAAACAGAAAGTAGAAAGGTTTGAACTGAATTGTCTTTGACCCCTAGGCATCCCTCCCCACCTGCTGTTCTCAGGGGGCCCAGGCCACCTGCCAGGAGGTATTTTCACACTCAGAGAGAATACTGCTCCCCATCACAGATGCTGCTCTGATGTCTTCCAGGAGCCTCCTTAAGTCTTCCTGTGTCTCTGCCTTCCCTTAGACACCAAGGCTGGGTTCTCCTCCACTTACACTATAGGAAGGAATAGGTATGTCTTCTTTAGTAAGGATTTACCATAGCTTCCATTCCTACTAAAGGAACTGATACTCTTCGTGAAGTAGAAAAAAAAAATGAACTTTGTAAAACTCCAGTCCCCTAGAGGTATCAGTATCTAAAACTACAACTTACTCTTGCCTTCTCTGACTCTGGGGTGTTGCTATCTTCAAATCTTCCAGGGAGTTAATGAACTCTAGCTTCCATGCATTCACACCCTGTCTGAATTCTCTGTCATGCTATTTGGCCCATGTAGAGCCCTAGTGGACTTCTAGAAATAATAAATTTCATTGTAAAAAATCTTCTGGACAGAGGGGCCTGGCTCTGTCTAAATTACGTTGGAGAGTGTCTGCACAGAAAATATTTGGATTTCTGCTAGCCTGTTCTGCTAGGAAGTTCTTCCACAAACAGCATCACCTCTATGGAACTCTGAAAGTATCTAGTTACTGCCTTGGACAGGACATTATTAGGGAAAGCCCCACCCAACAAAGACATATCATGCTGTTCAAGGTAATTACAGTAATTATTTAAACTTCTACTATCACTACTGCCATAGCAATGATGACGACCATGACTATGACTACTTCTACTGCCATTTATGCAGCAATTACTATAATAAGTAATTCACATATATTATGACATTTAATTCTCTCATAGTGACTTTGGAACCCCAAGCTCAAAAGATGCTATCTAGGGATCTTGGAAGTTAACCTGCTTCATTTTTTATTTTTCCATGCTAACTGTCCTAGTAATCAACTTCATCAAGTAGGAGGTGTGATTTGTTTTATTCTGACATGTTTCATGAAGACTTTATTTGTCTCTGTCTCAGTCTGGCATGCCCCAACTTGGCATGGAACTTTACGTTCCATGCAAGACATTGAACACGGTTCACAGAGACGACTGTTGCTTTAGCATCTGGCAGAATAGGCTTCAGTATGTTACCACCTGTGGAATTTCCACGTTAAGCGTTCACCTGGTTGATCTAAGAGGTGTTTATACGTATGTCCAATGCTGCTGCTTTCTGATACCTGTGACTCCATCCTGTTGGTGGCAAAATGTCCTTGCACAAAGAGTGTTGTTTTCTCTCACTTTGATCAGACCTACAAACACACAATTTTATTCCTGCCACTATTACCTTAATTTTTAAGTTGCTTCCCACCCTCCCCCCCAAATATCCGTTAATCTTCTTAATCTCTGGCCATGGTCCCTGGCGTGCATTCAAGTTTAGGTATGCTTCCAGAATATGCCTATTCACAGGTAAATTACTGCCATCTGTCAGATACAGAGTAGCATCCACATGGAACGTGTTAATCATCTTAGAGGATTTGTTGCCACCTCTGTGACCCACCCACCTCATTTCTGCTGCTTTCCACCTGTATCTTTTATACCAACTGTGAATTTTACCTCATACCATTTGCTAAGACCTTAAGAAATATTAATTTTTTTTAACCAAAGAGGCCACATTTCCATAGAGGGTATATAGAAATCAGTGAAGGGATATAGATATTTTGAAAAATCTCCTTAATGTCTATGAAAAACCTGTACCCACCACCAATCCTCCACCAACTTTCTCATGATCCTCTCTTTACTCCTTTCCTTAATTCCCTCCCGCCCACAAAATTTCTATACCTTCCACGTTGGTCAGAACGGGGAGGAATTATAGGCCACCTAGAAACCCATCCGGTAGGCGAGACTTGATGACAAGGTCAGTGACTAGCTTTGGTTCTTGGGGGGGAACAACTTTCTCTTTCAAACACATACAGACCATTTGCCCATGCAGGAAGTTAAAGTAGTATTGTTTTCAACACTTAAAGATGGGAGAGGCCATAAAACCTAGGTTTTGTTTTATGTGAGTCTTTAAAAAGTACATAAATAGAATATGTTTATTGTAAGAATAGTAGAAAACACAGATAAGCAAAATGAGGAAAATAAAACTCGGCTTTAATTAGATTTTTCGGATGTAATTACATTAACACTGTGGTTCTAATTATCTCAGACACTTTTTAACTGGTGAGCAGGGGGGGTGATGTGCAGCAGATAAAATGCACTCTGAAGCCACTTTTTTCTTAACCATATATCCTAGACATCTTATCTTGCTATTAAATATTCTTCTACAGAATTATTTTAATGGCTGTTTGGTTTTCCATATCATTTTGACACATAACTTATTTTTAACACTCATCTCTCCTTGTGAGATATTTTGTATTTTCTTTTTATATTCTTATAAGCAAGGCTTTAATGACCATCCCATATAAATATAAGCATTTCTCAAACTAAAACTATGATAATAGTGAGAATAAAATGTTAAGTATTCAGTTGTTAAAAATTCAATGTTAAGTATTCAGGTAAATGTAAGTACCTGAGCAGGATACACAGAGTCTATGAATACTTTATTTTCAGTTAGTGCCCAGTTTAAAAGGACCTATTATTTTGTGGTTTAGAGTTTCATCCTGCGTAAGGTTCATTTATGAGACAACATCCACCGGGACTATATCTGATCAAAGTGAGTGTGATAAAAGGTGTTCACATGATGCATGCTTTGCTTTGTGTGGGTTAACTATATTAGGATCAGCCTGGGGTACAAAAGGAAAAATGGCAATGTTTTCAGCAATATGCAGCAAGTGTTTTAAGGTTTAGTAAAACATAATTCTAGAAAGTCAGCGATTGACTAAAGAAAATTTTACTTAAGAAATACGAGCTATTGAAACAATGGCCTTATTATTTTAGGACATTCAGAAACAATATATCAAGATAATATGGCACAGTGTTTAAGAGCCAGACTGTGGAACTGGGCTCCCTGGGTTTGAATCCCAGCTCTTTCACTACTGGAAATAGACTATGCTGATTTTGATCATTTTACTTGCTGCTATGGTCTGAATATTTGTGTCCTAGAAAAATTTATCTTGATACTTAATACAATAAGAATAAAAGGTGGATACCTTTTATTTATTTTATCTCTCATTACTAACAATTTAGTCTCCCTCGAGCACAGAGCTGTCATTCATTGTATAGTCACAAGGTAAGTTGCAAACCCAACCCTTGACTAAAGGGATTGTCAAGAATACCCCTGTTGGATATTTAGTGACTCTCCTTGATTTCGTTAATCAGTAATGAATTTCATTAACTCATTAATAAAAGCTGGATCCTTTTAGGGGTCATGAGGGTGGAATTCTTATGAAAGGGATTAGTCTTCTTGCAAAAGAATCTTGGGGGGAGTTGGTTTGCCCCTTCCATCATGTCAAGACACATAGAAGACACCATCTGTGAGAAACAAGGCCCTCATCAGACACGAAATCTACTGGTGCCTTGATCTTAAACTTCCCAGCCTCTTGAACTACGAGTGATAAATTTGTGTTTTTAAAAAATTACTCAGTCTAAGGTATTCTTTATAGAAGCCCTAATAGGCTAAGACACTTTTCTTTACTAGTGCCTCAATTTCCTCAGTCATGTGAAAGGAGATAGTGCCAACTGCAGAAACTCGCTGAAGGTAATAAATAACTGTAAACACGAGACACTTAGAACTGTGTCTCTGACTCATTACAACCCATATGTAAATGTTTGCTCTCATCATGAGTGTCAGGGTCTGGAATTTCTCTGGCACTGAAAGGATCAGCTATAATTGTTTTAGCCCAGGTGTCCCCAAACTACGGCCCGCATGCGGCCCCCTGAGGCCATTTATCTGGCCCCCCGCCACACTTCAGGAAGGGGCACCTCTTTCATTGGTGGTCAGTGAGAGGAGCACAGTATGTGGCAGTCTTCCAACGGTCTGAGGGACAGTGAACTGGCCCCCTGTGTAAAAAGTTTGGGGACACCTGTTTTAGCCCTTATATAGGATAAAAGGATAATGGTAAAATGTGGCACTCTTCTACTTCCTTTTTTGCTAATTATACAAAACCTATTCTGAAAACCACATTTCATCCCCTGCTCAGAGGCTCCAGGTGGTGGCCAAGAGTACATCTCTTTTCAAATAGCTGGATCAGGTCCTCATGCTGCTGTGGTCGTTGCTGGTTATCTTCGGTGAGTTCAATAATTTGGCTGAGATCTGAAGTGGCAGCAGAATGAGGTCTACAGTTCCCAAAAGGTTGGAGGTTTTATCGGACCCAGGGAATGGTGGGGGTGCTCAGGTCCTTCCTCCAGCCTGGGCTTCAGAGGCAGATGCAAAGAAGTAGGCTGAGGACGATGAAATTGCTGCACATCCATTAAGCATTAAGCACAATGCTTAGTGTTCAGGGTAGAACGCTTTGCCATTTGCTGGTCATGAATTGCTATTTTAATGTCTTAGATCTCATTGAATAAGATGTTCTCATAGTAAAATGTTCATAATATTGGCATTTAGTATGCCCTTCTCCTCCATGAACACTGATTATTTAATTGTTATCTATAAGATTTGGGTTCAGCAGATGCATTGAGACCCTTTGCTAATGTTCTTCTGTTTAATGTGGACGATGAGGGCGATGACAGCTGCTGCTAGAAAATAAGATTCTTGGCTGGGAGCGGTGGCTCATGCCTGTAATCCCAGTACTTTGGAAGGCCGAGGTGGGTGGATCACCTGATGTTAGGAGTTCGCGGCCAGCCTGGCCAACACGGTGAAATCTTGTCTCAACTAAAATGCAAAAATAAGCTGGGTATGGTGGCAGGTGCCTATAATCCCAGCTACTTGGGAGGCTGAGGCAGGAGAATCCCTTGAACCCAGGAGGTGGATATTGCAGTGAGCCAAGATCACACCACTGCATTCCAGCCTGGGTGACAGAGTGAGACTCCATCTCAGAAAAAAAGGAGATTCCTTTCTCTATGCTGTGGAGGCACTAAATAAGTATTTGTTACTGGAATAAAAGGGCTCTAACATAAAATATGGCCACAGGAAAAAACTGATTTATTGATTTCTTTGAACTCTCATGATGTATGTTTCCTGATGAGCCCTTTATGATCATGTTGTCATGTCTGTCTACCACTTGAAAAGTCTGAGTGTGAGGTAGACTTGTGGGGGATGGCGGAAGAAAAATGAAATCAAGGAGAGTTACTAAATATCCAACGTGGGTATTCTTGGCAATCCCTTTAGTCAAGGGTTGGGCTTGCAACTCGCCTTGTGACTAAACAATCTATTTCTCTAATCTCTCCTTACTAACAATTCAGTCTCTCCTCGAGCACACATCTTGAGAGATTAGGGAAACAGAAAAGAAAGAAAAAATGGAAAGAAGTTTTTGAGCAATTTACCAGAGTAATATAAATTTATCAATTATAAGGGCAAATGCTGTGTGCTAATCTCTGGCTTTTGATCTCCTCACAGCTGCAGTCAATGAACAGGCAGGTGAGTCCTCCTTGTCTTTGTTGTTGGTCTCAGGTGTATCAGTTACCCAGCTACCCCAGGGTTCTGTCATGGTGGCTCTGGAAAGCCTGTGAAGACGTCCTAACAGTACTGCCCTCCAGGCCGACGTGTTCTGAGGTCACGCAGCCTGTTTCCGCCACTGCTTGCATGTCTGGACGACCAGGTCCCACCCAGCCTTCTCAAGGTCCCAGATGCTTGCCTCTGCTTTAAAAGCCTGGCTGTATTGAAGGTCAGTAATGTCTGAAAGAAGGCGTGCAGATTGGAGAACAATTTGGAGAGAATTGTTTTCCTGCCCATAGGACTCTAATGCCTCAATACTGTCTGGCTGCACGCTGAATGTTTTCACGGCTCTGCAAAGTTATTTATAGAGGAAAATGTCAGAACTACAAACTTCTGCAGGGTCAATAAACGTGTCCTCATTGCTTCTCTAGCTCTAGCTCAGGAGTCAGCAAGCTTTTCTTGTAAAAGGCAAGAGAGTAAAGAGGCTAAGCTTTTCAGGTGTGTGCTGTTAACTGTGGTAGCAGGCAAGACCATACGTAAATGAATGAGGATAGCTATATTCCAATACCATTTTGTTTACCAAAACAATGTTGGCCAGCTCACAGGCCATAGTTTGCCAACCCCTGCTCTAGATTTAGTATTTAGTTTTGAGTTTTTAAAAATACATGTATTCTGTTCTAATCATAAAGACAGACATAAAGCTAATTTTATTTTACTCTGAGTTAAATCTGTGCTTAGTGAAGAAAGTCAATGGGAAAATTTTTTATTTTTTTTTTGAGAAAAAGAATAATAAGAAAAAGAATAAAGAAGAGGAAGATAGCGAAAGAGGAAGAAGGAGAGAGAATGGGGGTATTGCTTTGTTGCCTGGGCTAGAATGCAGTCTAAATATGGGTATGCCTATAATTATCCTTGATAATGGAGACATGAAAGAAAATGAGGGAAGAGAGTAACAAACAAGGAGCCAACCAACATTTCGTTTAAACTTCTAAGTTGATATGATGTGGTACTGATAAGAGTGTATATTTTGTGTAAAGTGGAGAGTTCTATAAATGTTAATTACGTTTACTTGTTCCAGATCTGAGTTCAAGTCCTGGATATCGTTAATTTTCTGTCTCATTGATCTGTCTAATATTAATGCTGAAGTCTCCCACTATTATTGTGTGGGAGTCTAAGTCTCTTTATAAGTCTTGTATGTCTGGGTATTCCTGTATTGGGTGCGTGTATATTTAGGACCTTTAACTCTTCTTGTTGTTGCATTGATTCTTTTATCATATATAATGTCCTTCTTTGCTTCTTTTGATCTTTGTTGCTTTAAATACTATTTTATCAGAGGCAAAAATTGTAACTTCTGCTTTTTATTTATTTATTTTTGCTCTCTGGTTGGTTGGTAAGTCTCTCTCCATCCCTTGTTTTGAGTCTTTGTGTATCCTTGAATGTGAGATGGGTGTGGATGCAGCATACAGTTTTAGTTTTTTGTCCAAATTGCCTGTCTTTGAATTGAGGAATTTAGTCAATTTAAATTTAGAATTGATAATGATATATGTGAGTTTAATACTGTCATTTAATATTAGCTGGCTATTTTGCCCATTAGTTTAGGTAAATTCTTCATTATATTGATGTTCTTTACTTTTTGGTATTTTTTAGAAAGGCTGATACTGTTCGTTCCTTTCTATGTGTAGTGGTTCTTTCAGAAGCTCTTGTAAAGCAGGCCTGGTGGTGATGAATTCTCTGAGTGCTTGCTTGTTCACAAAAAACTTTATTTTTCCTTCACTTACGAAGCTTAGTTTGGCTGGATGTGAAATTCTTGGTTGAAAGTTCTTTTCCTTTAGGATGTTGAATATTGGTCCCCACTCTCTTCTGGCTTGTAGGGTTTCTGCTGAGAGATCTGCTGTGAGTCTGATAGGCTTCCCTTTGTGGGTAACCTGACCTTTCTCTCTGGCTGCCCTTAGTATTTTCTCCTTCATTTCAACCCTGGTGAATCTGATGATTATGTGCCTTGGAGTTGCTCTTCTTGAGGAATATCTTTGTGGTGTTCTCTGTATTACCTGGAGCTGAATATTATCCTGCCTTACTAAGTTGGGAAAAATTTCCTGAATAATATCCTGAAGCATATTTTCCAGCTTGGATTCATTCTCTTTGTCACATTCAGGTACACCTATCAAGCGTAGATTAGGTCTTTTCACATAGTCCCATATTTCTTGGAGACTTTGCTCGTTCCTTTTTATCCTTTTTTCTCTAGTCTTATCTTCTTGTTTTATTTCATTGAGTTGGTCTTCGACCTCTGATATCCTTTCTTCTGCTTGATCAATTCGGCTGTTAAAACTTGTGCATACTTCACGTAGTTCTCGTATTGTGTTTTTCAGTTCCATCAATTCACTTATTTTCCTCTCTAAATTTTGTATTCTTGTTGACATTTCGTCAAACCTTTTTTCAAAGTTCTTAGTTTCTTTAGATTGTGTTAGCATAAGTTCTTTTAATTCACAGGAGTTTCTTATTATCCACGTTTTGAAGCCTGCTTCTGTAATTGGAACACACTCGTTCTCCATCAAGCCTTGTTTCATTGCTGATGAGGAACTGGGATCCCCTGCTGAGGAAGAGGCGTTTTGATCTTGGGTATTCTCAGCCTTTTTTGACTGTTTTCTTCCCTTCGTTGTAGATTTATCCATCTGTGGTCTTTATAATTACCGTCTTTGTAATTGGGTTTCTGAGTGGACGTCCAACTTATTGATTCTCAGCGCCGAAATCTGAGCAACCCACTGCGCCGACCAAATCAGCGGCGTTAAGATTGATCGTGCTTTTCTTTTTCTTTTCTTTTTTTTTTTTAAAGAATAAAGAAGAGGAAGAAAGAGAAAGAGGAAGAGGGAGAGAGAATGGGGGTATTGCTTTGCTGCCCGGGCTAGAATGCAGTCTAAATATGGGTATGCCTGTAATTGTCCTTAATAATGGAGACATGAAAGAAAATGAGGGAAGAGAGTAACAAACAAGGAGCCAACCAACATTTCGTTTAAACTTCTAAGTTGATATGATGTGGTACTGATAAGAGTGTATATTTTGTGTAAAGTGGAGAGTTCTATAAATGTTAATTACGTTTACTTGTTCCAGATCTGGGTTCAAGTCCTGGATATCGTTATTAATTTTCTGTCTCATTGATCTGTCTAATATTAATGTTGAAGTCTCCCACTATTATTGTGTGGGAGTCTAAGTCACTTTATAAGTCTTGTATGTCTGGGTATTCCTGTATTGGGTGCGTGTATATTTAGGACCTTTAACTCTTCTTGTTGTTGCATTAATTCTTTTATCATTATATAATGTCCTTCTTTGCTTCTTTTGATCTTTGTTGCCTTAAATACTATTTTATCAGAGGCAAAAATTGTAACTTCTGCTTTTTATTTATTTATTTTTGCTCTCTGGTTGGTTGGTAAGTCTCTCTCCATCCTTTGTTTTGAGTCTTCGTGTATCCTTGAATGTGAGATAGGTCTGGATGCAGCATACAGTTTTAGTTTTTTGTCCAAATTACCTGTCTTTGAATTGAGGAATTTAGTCAATTTAAATTTAGAATTGATAATGATATATGTGAGTTTAATACTGTCATTTAATATTAGCTGGCTATTTTGCCCATTAGTTTATGTAAATTCTTCATTATATTGATGTTCTTTACTTTTTGGTATTTTCTGAAAGGCTGATACTGTTTGTTCCTTTCTATGTGTAGTGGTTCTTTCAGAAGCTCTTGTAAAGCAGGCCTGGTGGTGATGAATTCTCTGAGTGCTTGCTTGTTCACAAAAAACTTTATTTTTCCTTCACTTATGAAGCTTAGTTTGGCTGGATGTATAATTCTTGGTTGAAAGTTCTTTTCTTTAAGGATGTTGAATATTGGTCCCCACTCTCTTCTGGCTTGTAGGGTTTCTGCTGAGAGATCTGCTGTGAGTCTGATAGGCTTCCCTTTGTGGGTAACCTGACCTTTCTCTCTGGCTGCCCTTAGTATTTTCTCCTTCATTTCAACCCTGGTGAATCTGACGATTATGTGCCTTGGAGTTGCTCTTCTTGAGGAATATCTTTGTGGTGTTCTCTGTATTACCTGGAGCTGAATATTATCCTGCCTTACTAAGTTGGGAAAATTTTCCTGAATAATATCCTGAAGCATATTTTCCAGCTTGGATTCATTCTCTTTGTCACATTCAGGTACACCTATCAAGCGTAGATTAGGTCTTTTCACATAGTCCCATATTTCTTGGAGACTTTGCTCATTCCTTTTTATCCTTTTTTCTCTATTCTTGTCTTCTTGTTTTATTTCATTGAGTTGGTCTTCGACCTCTGATATCCTTTCTTCTGCTTGATCAATTCGGCTGTTAAAACTTGTGCATACTTCACGTAGTTCTCGTATTGTGTTTTTCAGTTCCATCAATTCACTTATTTTCCTCTCTAAATTTTGTATTCTTGTTGACATTTCGTCAAACCTTTTTTCAAAGTTCTTAGTTTCTTTAGATTGTGTTAGCACAAGTTCTTTTAATTCACAGGAGTTTCTTATTATCCACGTTTTGAAGCCTGCTTCTGTAATTGGAACACACTCGTTCTCCATCAAGCCTTGTTCCGTTGCTGATGAGGAACTGGGATCCCCCAGTGAGGGAGAGGCGTTCTGATCTTGGGTATTCTCAGCCTTTTTTGGCTGTTTTCTTCCCTTCGTTGTAGATTTATCCATCTACGGTCTTTATAATTACCGTCTTTGTAATTGGGTTTCTGAGTGGACGTCCAACTTATTGATTCTCAGCGCCGAAATCTGAGCAACCCACTGTGCCGACCTAATCAGCGGCGTTATGATTGATGGTGCTTTTCTGACTCTGCACCAAGAACCGACGCTCCGAGGCGCCGGCAAAACCGCCTCGCCGGTCACAAGAGTCGCGCTGGCGACCCGTGGGGCTTCTCCGCTGGGAATCTCCTGGTGCGTGAGCAACAAGAATTCATGTGAAGGTGTGGCGTCCTCTCGTTCTTTGCGTTTTCAGTGGGAGCTACAATCCCGAGCTGCTAGTGATCAGCCATCTTGGGTCTCTCCTGGGAAAAAATATTTTATTCTGTAAACAGAATCTTCACATGAGGCAAGACAAAATCTAAAGTAAGGGAGAATTGTTTCTTTGTCTATTGAATGTTGGCTACCAGGTGGAAGGGGCTCTTTGAGCTCTAAGGAACAGTGTGGGGATAAGCAGATCCTGGCCTCACCTTGAATAGAACAAGAGCATCCAGGGAGAGCTTCAGGGGTCCTATGTGGAGTGTGTTGAGGAACAAGTCTGGTCTCTCGCATTCATTCTGCCCACATAAGGTCCCAGAGCTCCACCCTGTGATACCTATCCCTCCACTGTCTGGATGAAAATTAGGGGAAACCTCAATCAATACTCAAGAGGTTTCTGATCATTAGTGGAATCATGCCAGGGTGGCAGGCTCCCTGAAGTGAATCACCTACAACCATTCAGAGAACAGGGTAACAGCCACTTCATTCTCTTACCTTTCCTTTCCTTGCACAAGAGCTTCTTAGAAAGTTGAGATGGTCTTCTCAAGTTTGAGATCTTTTCTTTTTAAAAAGAGTAAGAGGAAATTTAGTCCAGCATGAGGTATTGGAAAGAGCAGGACTTATATAGCCAGAAAGACCAAACTGAAATCATGGCTTTGCTATAAACCTGCTACGTAGGCTGGGCATCACTTGGCCTCTGAACCCCAGTCTTCAGGGAAAAGTTTCTGGTCTGTTGAGAATTACACTCCTCTGCAGGGTTTGAAAATGCTAATCAGCATAGCAGCTGAAAAGGTCTTTCTGTCCCCATCCATTGCCTCAACTGGTCTTCTACCCCATTTCCTCTTTTCAGCCCCACCCATACGCTGCACTTTACCACCTGGGACCTTGTCCTTTCATATGATGTTCTGAGAAATACCATTTGCTTTTGGTTTTCGCTGAGAAATACCATTTGCTTTTGGTTTTCGCTGAGAAATACCATTTGCTTTTGGTTTTCGCTGAGAAATACCATTTGCTTTTGGTTTTCGCTGAGAAATACCATTTGCTTTTGGTTTTCACTGTAATGATATTTTTTTCACTGAAATTCTTGTGGAAAAAACATGATTCAGTCCCGTACATCTTGCCCCAAGTTAAATCTTTGTGCTCCTACTTATTTGCTTTTCCCAAGAACTTCTCTGTTCACAACCTACCCTTCTCCCTGCCCCTTACCATTGTCCCTCCAATGCAGTTCTCCTCTGTACTCTCGGGGGGTCAGGAAGATTCTACTGGGCACCTCTGTAGGGAGAGCCACTCTCGGGCAGTTGCTGGAGGGTTTGGAACTCCCTGAGGATGAACAAGTCAGCATTAGGGCTTATTGCCCTTCCCTTCTAGGGCCTCTGACTCCTTGCACTCCACTAATGGTGCATGCACGCAAATTAGAGCTCTTGCGGTTGCACCCCAGTGACAGCCAGTGTGGAGCCAGCACACTTCTGCTGAGGCCTCCAAACTGCCAGGTGGTTGGCATCGGAGCAGTGCTGGAAGCAAGTGGATACAAACTCTCACACAAACCCTGTTCTGACTCTTTGGGTTCCCTCATATGGAACTGTGGACCAACTTGTCTACCTCATAGGTAGGACATCACTCTCAGGGGTTTTGACTTCAAATCACCTTCATTTATTCAGTTCCCCTGAATCCACCCCACCTCACAGACCTGAAACCCATTATTTTGGTTGCTCTTGAAGTGCAGTTACGATGTCCTCTTATTCCTCCTCAGCCATCATTAGCCTTTGCCACAAAGACATCCCCCATTGAGGCTGCGAAGATGTGTGGCTGAGTGGTCTGTAAATGCCAGCACCATCGTGTGCTTCTCACAGAATCCTTAAGGCAGCCTGATGAGAGGCAAATGCTCTTTGTTGTTCCATTTCTCAGATGAGAAACTGTAACCGAACACAGGTCCACCTGCCCACTGCTTGCAAAGACCAATTAACAAGGGAGACATCTGGAAGAAAGACAGTGACTTTTTAATTCAAAAACTTAGCTGAGGGGAAGCAGTGCAGGCTCCTGCCTTGAAAGTACCACTTCAGCTTCTGGGGCAGAAGGCAAGGGCTTTCAAAGGGGCACTTGGTGTGAACAGCATCCAGGGGATGCAAGGTGGTGCAAGTCTACATGATTTGCTTTGGATGGCATCTGGCTGGCTGGCACCAGTGTGGGCAGAGCTAGGTTGTAAATTGAGGCAATCTTCTGTTGGGAGAGAATTCTGGAGGCACCAGGTTTGCTTCGAGTTTCTGTCTCTGGAACCTTTAAGTAAACATAGATAAGCTTTCAGTGCAAGGAGTGGCTTGTGGAGAGAAGGTAAAGATTCTAATTGCGTTCCTAAAGAGCTAAGTAGGAGATGGGGGAAGGAAAAAGGTAAAAATACTTTTTTTTTTTTCCTTAGAAAAATAGGATAGTTTATTACAAAACCGAGGTTCAAAGAGTAAAGTGCTTTGTCCAGTATCACACAGGTAACAAGAGGAGACTTGGATTCAAAGCAGTGTGATCTGGCTTTTCACCACTAGGTTCAATGTTCTGAGAACTGAAATCAATCAGTATCCCCTGGTGAGACTCTCTGGCTGCATCTTTACTTCCTGCCTCTAAGCTTTAGCCTCTCTCCCCAGCGATTCCTCTTGGGGGCTGCAAGTCAGCTCACCCAGCTGCTCCCACTTGCTGGTCTGCTATTAGGGACTCAGGATCATCCACTCCTCACTGCTCTCCACCCTCCGGCTTGCTCTTGGGGCAGTCTGCCTCTTACCAAGCAGTTTGAGGACACGAATCATCCCTAACGCCCAACTCAAAGTCTCACTTTGTCAGTGGTGGCTGGAGCCAGTGAGACTGCCTGTCTTGCCCTTTTCAACAGCGTCTCTAATCATGACTCCTCTTCCTATCACCAGGGGCGTTCTCTACAGGAATCTCTTCTGTTTGTGGAGGAAGACTGTACCAGTGGTTTAAAAGTCAGCTTGATTCCAAGTCCCACAGTGGAGTTTCCATGAGATCTAGTATCCATTTGCAAAGGAGGCTACCAGTCTTGAATTAAGTTAGTTATTTCTCCAACACACCTTTTCTGCCCTTCTAATTTCATTTTAAAAAATTAGATTGTTCCCCAATGTCCAACAGGTAATTCTAGTTCTGTTGGAACGGCCAGTAGCAAACCATACATTTTTCCAAAAATGATACTTCAAAACTCCACGAATCTCCTGTGACTTTTTGGCTCTAGCTCTGCAGTAGTATTTTATGAGTCATCACATCTCTTATTCTATTGACTTCTACTTCCTTCTACACATCTGACAGTCCTGACACAATTGAATAGTGATAAGAAGATTTTTATTTGAGGTATAACTTAATTCTTTCTTTTGTGGTCAAAATCCTCTACTATAATCCTAAAATATCATGAAGATGTCAAAAACACAAAATATAGTCTGGTACCATAAATAAGTGAAGTGACAGGGTCAAAATAAGGAAAGCAACCTCTGGGGAGGACATTTGTCTTTGGCAATAGCTTTTTTCTTCATATGATCAGTCTCTAGGAACTGAGTCTTGGATTAAAAATAATCTCTACTTCATTGAATAGATGAGAAAAATGTTTTCTGTAAGCATTCAAGTAGAGAATTAAAGATACTGGATCTTATTCCAGTAACTGGCTTACTTCCAATAATCTAGGCCGCTTGATGCTTTTATCTGGTAAGGCAAGAAGAGGGAATGAGACCTGAATTTCTAACACAGTGTAGAGCTCTGAGGGCTGCATGAAGGCATGGTGGGGGGGGGCGGTGGTGGTGAGAAAATAAAGTGCCCACTGAGGACAGTGGTTTCCCTGTGTGGTGTCACTGGTGGAGAAGGCTGAAGATGAGGAGTTTATCAGAACATTCCTTCATGAACAGTAAAAAATCAAGTTTACTTTGACACCCCTGCAATAGACGGAATATTTGTATCTCCCTCAAATTCATATGTTGAAACCCTAATCCAGATGTGATGGTATTTGTAGGGGGGGCCTTTGGGAGGTAATAAGATCGTGAGGGTGGAACCACCATGAATAGGACTAATGCCTTTATAAGAGTCCAGAGAGCTAGCTGGTTCTTTTTTCTACCATGTGAGGGTAGAGCGAAAAGTTGGCAGTCTGCAGCCTAGAAGATGGCCCCCACCACAACCCGACAATGCTGGCACCCTGACCTCAGACTTACAACCTCCAGAACTGTGAGAAATAAATCTCTGTTATTGATAAGCCACTTAGCTTATGGCATCTTGTTACAGCAGCACAAGCTGTAACAACCCCTCAAGAAACATGGGATGCAAGTCTCAGTAATGAAGGCGTGGGTTGGAACCTCTTGTTTTACGTTGTCTAAAGTAGAGGCTGTGCCTGGGAGCACCCCACTGCCAACGAAGCCTGTCTGGGTTCTCTGCAGAAATGGCAAATCGAGTTTCCCTCCTTCCCTTGCAGGCAAGCTGACCCTTTCGGCGCCCTCTTCTGTCTTTGAAGGAGACAGCATAGTTCTGAAATGCCAGGGAGAACCGAATTGGAAAATCCAGAGGATGGCTTACCACAAGGATAACAGAGAGTTATCTGTTTTCAAAGCAGTCTCAAGGTTCCAGATCCAAAGTGCAGTTTTAAGTGACAGTGGTGACTATTTCTGTAGTACCAAAGGAAAGATGTTGGTCTCGGATAAAAGATCAAATATAGTAAAGATCAGAGTCCAAGGTAAAACCCTCGCTTCTTTGGGATGGGCTGGGTAAGAGACCACAGCATCAAGGCAGGGTGGGTACTGGGTAGGCGGAAGCTGCTCATGGCCAGATCTAGACTGAGACGCTTGTGGTTTGACCATCAGGGGAGCCATGATGGGTAAGAGGTGTCCGGCTCTGAATGTCTTGTTTGCTGGAGTTGCTTCTTACCGGAAGCTTTTCAGCAGGAACCTTAGACCTCACTGCTTTGGGGACTGTTGTGACCCTTCTCTCTAGAGCTATTTCAACATCCTATGCTGATAGCCAGTGACTTCCAGCCCATCGAAGGGGGTCCAGTGAGCCTGACATGTGAGACCCGGCTTTCTCCGCAGAGGCTGTATGTTCAGCTTCGGTTCTGCTTCTTCAGAGAAAACCAGGTCCTGGGGTCAGGCTGGAGCCGCTCCCCAGAGCTCCAGATTCCTGCCATGTGGAGTGATGACACAGGGTCTTACTGGTGCAAGGCAGAAACGGTGACTCCCAGGGTCAGCAAGCAGAGCCTCCAATCCCAGATTCATGTGCGGAGTAAGTATCGGTGAGGCTGGGCCTGGAGAGAAAAGATAGGAGTGCTATAGCTTCAGTTTGAATTGCTAATCTTCTCGTTTCCTTGTTCAACTCCTGTCCTTGAAGAAAGTGAACATTAAGCTAGAAACGCCCCCCCACCCCATATTGCTCCTGACTTCTTTCTTCATAAGAATCAGAAATGGACTAAGCCCCTTATCATTTTTTTTATTAAAGTAATATTCATTGATCAAGCCTTGATTGATCACTGACTGTAGGCCTTGTCATTTAGCAGTGGGTGGGGTACTTTGAAAGACAAACCCCCTGGTTTCTAATGGCTCTCCAAATGTCTCCACATGCTGAAATTGCAACACAAATTGACTTATCGGAAGGCAATGTGGTGCTATAGTGTATAGCGCTATCTGAAGCTTCAGGAAAAGCAGATCTGAGTGAACGGAGTGGTCAGAGGAGATGTTGTATTTGGTTGAACCTTGAAATTAAGAATGATAGAGGAATTGTTATTGGGACTGTGACTTTTCCAAGGCAGGACTGATGATATCAGTGCCCTCTATATTCTGTGCAAAAGGCATCTGTCTGCAAGTGACTCTTTCAAGAAATTGAACAGTTTCCTGTCTCATGGAGTGGATGATCCATCACAAATTCTTTAAATATCACCATCCATGAAATTAGCCAGGGTTAGGCCATACAAATATCTTTATCCACATTCGTCAAGGATAATTGTCATAGATTCCTTACCTCCATAGGAATGCTTATAATGGATTCTCTATACAATCTCCACATCCCCACTCCTTGCGTTGGAGAATGGAATCGGTCAAACCCTGTTCCCAGAGTTTCCCTTAGAGTTCTCACCTGTTATCTTATATCCATCTAGGAATTCCCATCTCTAATGTGAGCTTGGAGGCCCGGGCCCCTGGGGGACAGGTGACTGAAGGACAGAGACTGATCCTGCTCTGCTCAGTGGCTGGGGGTACAGGAAATGTCACGTTCTCCTGGTACAGAGAGGCCACAGGCACCAGTCTGGGAAAGCAAACCCAGCATTCCCTGTCAGCAGAGCTGGAGATCCCCGCTGTGAAGGAGAGTGATGCCGGCAGATATTACTGTCAAGCTGACAACGGCCATGAGCCTATCCAGAGCAAGGTGGTGAATATACCTGTGAGAAGTGAGTGACACTCTCATTCATATCTGCCATAAATTCCCAAACCAAGGTCATGGTCCACAGGAGTCCTGAGGAAATTTCAGGAGGCCCCAGGGATTAGTGTTGTGGAGAACCAAAAGCAATTTGCAAATGGGTTACCCTTGCAGGTTAGGCTGCTGACCTGTTTCTTTTTGTGGAAGGAAATATAAAGAGGGCTGCAGCTGATTATGAAGCATAAGCATTCTTGCCATACTACAATAGGATAATAAAACATCCATTACAGGCCGGGTGCGGTGGCTCAAACCTGTAATCCCAGCACTTTGGGAGGCCGAGGCGGGTGGATCACGAGGTCAAGAGATTGAGACCATCCTGGTCAACATGGTGAAACCCCGTTTCTACTAAAAATACAAAAAAATTAGCTGGGCATGGTGGCGCGTGCCTGTAATCTCAGCTACTCAGGAGGCTGAGGCAGGAGAATTGCCTGAACCAGGAGGCGGAGTTCGCGCCATTGCACTCCAGCCTGGGTAACAAGAGCGAAACTCTGTCTCAAAAAAAAAAAAAAAAAAAAAAAAAAAAAAAAAACATCCATTACATGAAACCTTGGGGCTCTGGGCCAGGGAGTGTCATGGATCTACAAGGTTTGTAGTGGTAACAGCCTGCTTCATTTTATGTCATTTCCTTCAACGTGATTACAGTTTTTCTACCTTGCAGAGATTGCACTCAAAGGGAGACGTGTTATTGGTGATTTACTGGTGTGGGAAATCACCCGGTAGCCCAGTGGCCATTTCTATTCTAACCCATTCCTACAGTTCTCAACCAGGCTGAACAAACACACCAAAACATATGCTTAGAAATGCTCCTATGTATCAGTTTTCCCAGGAACAACTAGAATATTATAGAAATCTTATAATTATTTCCTGATAAAAAAATTACAGGATACAAAACAAATGAAATGAAAAGAGGGCTGGATGGGCACAAGAAAACAATCAGATGAGAACAACATATGACTATGTCTGTAGGTAGCACCCCGGAAATGATATTCTCCCCAAACTTCTAAATATATTGCTGAGAAAATTACCTCTGACTGTTGTAGCGGGAATGTGAGAATGGAAAGGACACGATACCCACGGGGCCAGGCCCTTTGCTGAGCCTGCAGGATGGGAGTCTGTGAATCTATTGCAGCATCACAAATCTTTTCTGATAACCCCTCTCTGTGTCTGTCAGTTCCAGTGTCTTGCCCTGTCCTCACCCTCAGGGCTCCCAGGCCCCAGGCTGTGGTGGGGAATCTGCTGACGCTTCACTGTGAGACCCAGAGAGGCTCTTCCCCGATCCTGTACTGGTTTTATCATGAGAATATCACCCTGGGGAACAGCTCAGCCCCCTCTGGAGGAGGAGCCTCCTTCAACATTTCTCTGACTGCAGAACATTCTGGAAACTACTCCTGTGAGGCTGACAATGGCCTGGGGGCCCAGCGCAGCCACGCAGTGCTGATCTCCATCTCAGGTGGGTGGGTGTTACCTGGATACAGAGTATGATGACAATGGCTGTGTCTCACCAGTCTGGAGACGTCTGCTATGCGTGAGGAGGGGGGAGCTGATCTCAGCGTCCAGCTGTTCCTCTGCTCCCCACACTGAAGAGTGAGTACAGACTACACTTCAATGACCTCTTCCGGGAATTTGTATTTGCCTTCCCTACATAGCATTTACAAGAAGGGCCCAAGTCTTTAACCTCTGGGGCTGAAGCACTGCTTTCTTTCCTCAGGACCTGATGGCTATAGAAGAGACGTCATGACAGCCAGAGTTCTTGGGGGGCTGTTCGGTGTCCTCGGTTCCATTGCTGTTGCTTTGCTGTTGTATTGCCTGTTCCACAAGATATCAGGTTGTATTGACTATTTGGATTTTCTATATTTTGCTATGACCTTTCCACTACTGATATCGATTGAAATTACAAAAAAAAAAAAAAAAAAAAAAAAAAAAAAAAAAAAAAAAAAAAAAAAACAGAAAAGAAAGTAAAGAAACCCTCCAAAATCCAATAATTTTTTTTTTAGGCTTCAAATTCTGCAAAGTCCTGTGTAATGCTCAATGTGGTCATACTGCTAATTACACAATATGTCATTGTCCCCTGTGCATAGTCACTTGAGATTAAAATATTTACACATTCCCTCCATGTTTGACTCTTAAATTAAAAAGTCTAATTCTTTTTTTTTTTTTTTTTTTTTTACTTTTTTTTTATTGCATTTTAGGTTTTGGGGTACATGTGATGAACATGCAAGATTGTTGCATAGGTACACACATGGCAGTGTGCTTTGCTGCCTTCTGTCCCCTCACCTGTATCTGTCATTTCTCCCCATGCTATCTCTTCCCACCTCCCCACCCCCACACCCCTCCCCCATTTCCCCCCAACGGACCCCAGTGTGTAGTGCTCCCCTCCCTGTGTCCATGTGTTCTCATTGTTCAACACCCGCCTATGAGCAAGAATATACGGTGTTTGATTTTCTGCTCTTGTGTCAGTTTGCTGAGAATGATGGTTTCCAGGTTCATCCATGTCCCTACAAAGGACGTGAACTCATCGTTTTTGATGGCTGCATAATATTCCATGGTGTATATGTACCACATTTTCCCTATCCAGTCTATCATTGTTGGGCATTTGGGTTGGTTCCAGGTCTTTGCTATTGTAAACAGTGCTGCAATGAACATTCGTGTGCACGTGTCCTTGTAGTAGAATGATTTATAATCCTTTGGATATATACCCAGTAATGGGATTGCTGGGTCATATGGGATTTCTATTTTTAGGTCCTCGAGGAATCGCCACACTGTCTTCCACAATGGTTGAATTAATTTACATTCCCACCAACAGTGTAAAAGTGTTCCTATTTCTCCACATCCTCTCCAGCATCTGTTGTTTCCCGATTTTTTAATGATCGCCATTCTAACTGGTGTGAGATGGTATCTCAATGTGGTTTTGATTTGCATTTCTCTGATGACCAGTGATGATGAGCATTTTTTCATATGTTTGTTGGCCTCCTGTATGTCTTCTTTTGTAAAGTATCTGTTCATATCCTTCGCCTATTTTTGAATGGGCTTGTTTGTTTTTTTCTTGTAGATCTGCTTTAGTTCTTTGTAAATTCTGGATATCAGCCCCTTGTCAGATGGGTAGACTGCAAAAATTTTTTCCCATTCTGTTGGTTGCCAATTCACTCTACTGACTGTTTCTTTTGCCTGTGCAGAAGCTGTGGAGTTTGATTAGGTCCCATTTGTCTATTTTGGCTTTTGTTGCCATTGCTTTTGGCATTTTGGTCATGAAGTCCTTGCCTACACCTATGTCCTGAATGGTTTTGCCTAGATTTTCTTCTAAGGTTTTTATGGTATTAGGTCTGATGTTTAAGTCTTTAATCCATCTGGAGTTAATTTTGGTGTAAGGTGTCAGGAAGGGGTCCAGTTTCTGCTTTCTGCACATGGCTAGCCAGTTTTCCCAACACCATTTATTAAACAGGGAGTCCTTTCCCCATTGCTTGTTTTTGTCAGGTTTGTCGAAGATCAGATGGTTGTGGGTATGTTGTATTTCCTCTGAGGCCTCTGTTCTGTTCCATTGGTCTATATGTCTGTTTTGGTACCAGTACCATGCTGTTTTGATTAGTGTAGCCTTGTAGTATAGTTTGAAGTCCGGTAGTGTGATGCCTCCTGCTTTGTTCTTTTTGCTTAGAATTGACTTGGCTATGCGGGCTCTCTTTTGGTTCCATATGAAGTTTAAGGTGTTTTTTTCCAGTTCTGTGAAGAAGGTCATTGGTAGCTTGATGGGAATAGCGTTGAATCTGTAAATTACTTTGGGCAGTATGGCCATTTTCACGATGTTGATTCTTCCTAACCATGAACATGGAATGTTTCTCCATCTGTTTGTATCCTCTCTTATTTCGTTGAGCAGTGGCTTGTAGTTCTCCTTGAAGAGGTCCTTTACGTTCCTTGTTAGTTGTATTCCTAGGTACTTTATTCTCTTTGTAGCAATTGTGAATGGCAGTTCGTTCTTGATTTGGCTCTCTTGAAGTCTATTACTGGTGTATAGGAATGCTGGTGATTTTTGCACGTTGATTTTGTATCCTGAGACTTTGCTGAAGTTGTTTATCAGTTTCAGGAGATTTTGGGCTGAGATGATGGGGTCTTCCAGATATACAATCATGTCATCTGCAAATAGAGACAATTTAATTTCCTCCTTTCCAATTTGGATACCCTTTATTTCTTTTTCTTCAGTGATTGCTCTGGCTAGAACTTCCAGTACTATATTGAATAGGAGTGGTGAGAGAGGGCATCCTTGTCTAGTGCCAGATTTCAAAGGGAATGCTTCCAGTTTTTGCCCATTCAGTATGATATTGGCTGTTGGTTTGTCATAAATAGCTTTTATTGTTTTGAGATACGTTCCATCAATACCTAGTTTACTGAGGGTTTTTAGCATAAAGGGTTGTTGAATTTTGTCAAAAGCCTTCTCTGCATCAATCGAGATAATCATGTGGTTTTTGTCTTTGGTTCTGTTTATGTGGTGAATTACGTTTATGGACTTGCGTATGTTGAACCAGCCTTGCATCCCCGGGATGAATCCTACTTGATCATGGTGGATGAGCTTTTTGATATGCTGTTGCAATCGGTTTGCCAGTATTTTATTGAAGATTTTTGCATCTATGTTCATCATGGATATTGGCCTGAAATTTTCTTTTCTTGTTGAGTCTCTGCCGGGTTTTGGTATTAGGATGATGTTTGTCTCGTAAAATGATTTGGGAAGGATTCCCTCTTTTTGGATTGTCTGGAATAGTTTCAGAAGGAATGGTATCAGCTCCTCCTTGTATGTCTGGTAGAATTCAGCTGTGAACCCATCTGGACCTGGGCTTTTTTTTGGGTGGTAGGCTCTTTATTGCTGCCTCGACTTCAGGCCATGTTATTGGTCTATTCAGGGTTTCGGCTTCTTCCAGGTTTAGGCTTGGGAGGATGCAGGTGTCCAGAAATTTATCCATTTCTTCCAGGTTTACTAGTTTATGTGCATAGAGTTGTTTGTAATAGTCTCTGATGATGGTTTGGATTTCTGTGGAATCTGTGGTGATATCCCCTTTATCGTTTTTTATTGCATCAATTTGGTTATTCTCTCTTTTCTTTTTTATTAATCTGGCTAGTGGTCTGTCTATTTTGTTGATCTTTTCAAAAAACCAGCTCCTGGATTTATTGATTTTTTGAAGAGTTTTTTGTGTCTCTATTTCCTTCAGTTCTGCTCTGATCTTAGTTATTTCCTGTCTTCTGCTAGGTTTTGAGTTTTTTGATCTTGCTCCTCTAGCTCTTTCAATTTTGATGATAGGGTGTCAATTTTAGATCTCTCCTTTCTTCTCATGTGGGCACTCATTGCTATATATTTTCCTCTAGAGACTGCTTTAAATGTGTCCCAGAGATTCTGGTATGTTGTGTCTTCGTTCTCATTGGTTTCGAAGAACATCTTTATTTCTGCCTTCATTTCATTGTTTATCCAGTCAACATTCAAGAGCAAGTTGTTCAGTTTCCATGAAGCTGTGCGGTTCTGAGTTAGTTTCTGCATTCTGAGTTCTAACTCGATTGCATTGTGGTCTGAGAGACTGTTTGTTATGATTTCTGTTCTTTTGCATTTGCTGAGGAGTGATTTATTGCCAATTATGTGGTCAATTTTAGAGTAGGTGTGATGTGGTGCTGAGAAGAATGTATATTCTGTGGATTTGGGGTGGAGAGTTCTGTAAATGTCTATTAGGTTTGCTTGTTCCAGGTCTGTATTCAGGTCCTGGATATCCTTGTTGATTTTCTGTCTGGTTGATCTGTCTAATATTGACAATGGGGTGTTAAAGTCTCCCACTATTATTGTGTGGGAGTCTAAGTCTCTTTGTAAGTCATTAAGAACTTGCCTTATGTATCTGGGTGCTCCTGTATTGGGTGCGTATATATTTAGGATCGTTAGCTCTTCTTGTTGCAGTGATCCTTTTACCATTATGTAATGTCCTTCTTTGTCTCTTTTGATCTTTGTTGCTTTAAAGTCTATTTTATCAGAGATGAGAATTGCAACTCCTGCCTTTTTTTGCTCTCCATTTGCTTGGTAGATCTTCCTCCATCCCTTTATTTGGAGCCTTTGTGTATCCTTGCATGTAAGATGGGTTTCCTGGATACAGCACACTGATGGGTTTTGGCTTTTTATCCAATTTGCCAGTCTGTGTCTTTTGATTGGGGCATTTAGTCCATTTACATTTAGGGATAGTATTGTTATGTGTGATTTTGATGCTGTCATTTTGATGCTACCTGGCTGTTTTGTTGGTTAGTTGATGCAGATTCTTGATTGTGTTGATGCTTTTTTACCATTTGGTGTGTTTTTGGAGTGGCTGGTACTGGTTGTTCCTTTATATGTGTAGAGCCTCTTTCAGGAGTTCTTGTAGAGCAGGTTTGGTGGTGATGAAATCTCTGAGTGCTTGCTTGTTCACAAAGGATTTTATTTTTCCTTCACTTATGAAGCTTAGTTTGGCTGGATAGGAGATTCTGGGTTGAAAGTTCTTTTCTTTAAGGATGTTGAATATTGGCCCCCAATCTCTTCTGGCTTGTAGGGTTTCTGCTGAGAGATCTGCTGTGAGTCTAATGGGCTTCCCTTTGTGGGTAACCCGACCTTTCTCTCTGGCTGCCCTTAGCATTTTCTCTTTCATTTCAACCCTGGTGAATCTGACGATTATGTGCCTTGGGGTTGCTCTTCTTGAGGAATATCTTTGTGGTGTTCTCTGTATTTCCTGGATTTGAATATTGGTCTGCCTTGCTAGGTTAGGGAAGTTTTTCTGGATAATATCCTGAAGAGTATTTTCCAGCTTGGATTCATTCTCTTCATCACATTCAGGTACA